GAAACCTGCTGTGTTTGACATACTGAAGATGCTCTTAATCCATTCACTGTAGGAAGAGCATCGAGTGTTTGTTGTAAAGGATCAGCTGTTCTCTCTTCTCTGTAAACTGTTCTGTTCTCTAATACTTTAAATATGCCTGAATCTGCTTCATGGTTTTCACTTTCTTTGCTTCATGTGTTCTGTTTTTAATTCAGCAGGTGAACCTATATGTTCATAACACAGTGTGTGTGAGCTGAACTGTGTGTCCTTGTTGGTGTATAGCTACTGAATATGTTGAATGAAAGAATGGTTCTCCTGTACAATGATAATTTCTGATCCTAAATATCTCGGTTTCTTCTTTTCTAAGGACACATTCTTCTGTTGTCTTACATAACACACTTCAGTAAAACACATCTCATTGATATTTATTTTCTCTTCTATTCATTTGAACTGCATTTGATATTGAGGTTTTCCAAAAGTAACAGAAAGTAATCAGGTTACATTACTTTATATTTTGATACTCAGATCAAGTTACTCATTACATTTCTTTGTCACGTAGCTGACCCTCCCAACCCTCTCTACAACAACCACTGTGTTTAACTGTCAGTCTGCTGGTGGTGGGTTTCTCTTTCAGGTGTGACAGTGGGCAGAGTGGTGGATCTGCACAAGAGAATCATCGGAGGTGTACCATGTGGTCCTACTGACCGTCCGTACCATGTGAAGCTGAGACCATATGAAGGGACAGTTAAATCCCTGTGTGGTGGAACTCTGATGGATAACCAGTGGATTCTGACTGCAGCTCACTGTGTGGAGCCGGGGAGGTGAGAAAGTTTTACTTAAAATACGTAGATACATTAAATCTGAAAAGTAATGAATTCAAACAAACATTAAAATAACATATCACATATCATGTCTTCATGTTAAATAACCTAAACCATTACACTCTGATGCATTTGCAGTCATTTATTGATGTCACTCTTTCCACTTTCATTATTTGCAGCACGACAAGGGTGACAGCATTTCTAGGTTTGAATGGAAATGGCGAAACAAACCCAGTTGATATCGATATGAACTCTATTGAAAGACATAAAGACAACCATGACATGGCGCTGATCAAGTTAACTAAGCCTGTGACGGTTATTAAACCTGTTCCACTTCCTGACTGTAGCAAACCTCTCAAAAAGTGAGTTGTTATCTTTAATAAGTGAGAGAGTGAATCTCCTAAGGAACTCAAACCGATATAAACCCCTGACATCTTTTTATGAATGTTAAGTCTTTGTCTTGTATTTCAGAGGTGACACAGTTCAGATTGCAGGTCACGGACCCACAGAGCAAACCCTAAAAGGTTCAAAACGTGAGATGAATCTTGTTTATTTTCAGAATAAATACTGCACACACTGAACTCTTTTTAAGTTTTAAGTTTGTTAAACATATTTTAAACTTAGCATTATCATATTTTAACATATTTATAAAACATTGAGTATTTACAACCAATAAAAGAAACGAAAATACAAAAATGTTATATTGTAACAAGTGTTTTAAGTGTGTATTGTGTGCCCCTTGTTGCACTTTGTGATTGCTTTTAGCAATGAAAGGTGGTTTACAAATAAAATGTATTGTTATTATTATTATGTGTTCAGGATAGTTGGCAACATTGTGGAAAAATATTTACATGCACAGGAAAAACTAACATTTGCCAGTCACATTTCTTTGAATGTACAGGGTCAGTAGAACATGTAGTGTAACACGCCTTTTGATATTCTCATCTACAGTAGTATACGGCACTGTGTCACCAACTCTCCAATGTGCGGAGACCTACGTGATCCAGCAGTGTCCGGCCGCAAGCTGTACATCTAAATATGCCTATCACTTTGATCCTAAACAAATGCTCTGTTTCCAAAGAGCTTTAGTGGATATAACAGGCGTGAGTTGACCTGATCGACCAGTTTATAATAAATAAGTATTCCAGTAAATGATGCAAAAGTCTGTGTTTAACAATTTGTACATCTCTCTCTCTCTCTCTCTCTCTCTCTCTCTCTCAGGGGGACTCTGGTGGAGGAGTGATGGTCAATGACGTGATCTACGGTGTGCAAGTACTAAGCGCTGAGAAGGCTTGTAAATCCCCATCATTTGCAATGGACGTCTGTAAATACAAAAAATGGATCGAAGGGGTTACCGGTCTTATCTTTCCATGAGAAGTTTCAATTGAATGAGAGGTCCTGTAATTGAACAGACCTTCACACGTATTAAAACATTCTGATTGACTCTAAATTGGCTGATGATACATTTACAATTGGTTGGTTTCCATTAAATATTCAACTCTTATTAGAAAAGCTCTTTAAGATCATTTTAGCGTATGAGTTATAAATGTTATTTTGAACACTCCTGCCAGCAAACTTTTGTTACGAGAGAAATAAGATCTATATTTTCCCCCTTTTTTTATTTCAATTTGGAACTCAATTGTAAAAATATAACCCTTTTCAATAGAAATTGAATAATATGATACAGATTGTATTTTAAAAACAACAAATGGCCAAATATATAGTATAATAATATAGTCTGTGTTTCTTCTGAACATGCTGATCTCATTCTCTGTTGAGCTCAATCTGAAGTAATGCATGTAATTCTTGTTTCCCTCAAAATCAACTTCTTGTTTAATGTTGTCATTTAAAATAAAAGAAAGAGTCTAAATCAATATTTCACTGATTGTTTGTTTGTTTATGAATACAGCGTCACATGAACACATTTCTGCTCAATTCAACTGATCAATATCTTTGAACCTGCAGTAACAGTTTGTGTCCATGGGGGGGCAGCTCGTTTCAATATTGATGATAGTTGCTTTATGTTACTAATCAATGAGATGACTATCTTACAGCAGTCTGCTTCTCTTCTCATGATGTATTCAGGGTGCGCTAGTTTTTTACAGCTGTCAACACAACCCTATTGGCTACACAGATGTGTCCATTTGCACATTTCTGATCACTTCACCAAATTTTCCTGCCCTATGGCTGAAACATGGATCAAAACACTGACATCATCGTGTATTCAAGTATATAAGTATTATTTTAGTATGAGAAAATATCAGTGAGATAATATTTTTCTTATTGTGTGGGGGCGTCTTCTATTACTCATTATCTAACACCAACTGTAGGCTTTAAGAATACACTATGAATATGCTCTATATCAACAGCCATTGGACATTAACCAGAGGTGGGGAATCTGCATACGTAATTCCACTAAACATCTTTCAACCTGCAGTAACAGTTGTTGTCCATGGGGGGGTGTCAGATGCAGAGTGGCCATAGACAGACAGATGTTCACTGTTTCCACCACAAACAAACTGTTGGGCTGCAGCCTTTCGAGCAGCTTCCATGTACAGCTGAAGGTTGTGAAAGAAGGATGGTTGTTACTGACTCTGGAGATGTTTCCGGGTTAAACTGCAGAGGTTGAGCAAAGCGTTGTGTGAAATGAATAGAAAACACAAGACAGAATACTGAGCATAACTGAGGGTCACAGGTTAGGGCATTGTTATTTTACGTTTTGATAAATTAATGTTGCTTTCAAGAGTTTGTTTGTTATTCAGGATCATTAAAAATGCTAGAACACCTCCATGGAGGAGATTCTTACAGCTTCATCGTAACCAGAGTTGCTGAAACTCGAGATCTGCCCTAAACGCAGATAAAACCGTCCCTCAACAGAACCAAGGCATTTGCATTTTCATTTACGACCATCAAACATTGGCCATTTCTTCCAGCTTAGATTAAGGCTTGTATTGACTTCACTTGTTCTCTCATGGTGCAAAAAAAAGTATATTAAGCAACCATTTTGTCAATTTAAATTGTATTGTGATATTATATTTAAACTGTACTATGTACTATTGTATTGACCTGTACTTTAATCCTTTTTTTATAATTGTTTGTGTGATAGAGATTATGTCATGTTTTGAGGAGGCTGTGGCGCAGTGGACTATGCATTGGTGTTCGGATCAAAGCTGGATCAGGGGGTCACAGGTTCAAACCCCACTGCAGTCAGCATGTCGTTGTGTCCCTGAGACACTTCACCCCAAAGTGCTCCTGTGGGGATTGTCCACAGTATTGAGTATGGAAGTCGCTTTGGATAAAAGTGTCTAACAAGTAACATGTCATGTAATGTTGAGTGTTTGTTGTTCGTTATACTTGCTTGAGGACTTCAGATGAAAATGAGCTATGAGCTCAGATCTGGCATAAATCATCTCTTTTCTGAGATTGATGTATTTGTATGCATGGTCCTGTTCAAATAAAGACATAAATAATTATTTTCTTACGATTTGAGCAGTTTTTTGGGTTTCTTTTATTGTTTTTTTCAGTAATGTATTTTCTCATTTTATTGTGAGGGGTTTATAATGAAGACTTTAAGTATTATCTGATCCACACCCTAGAACAGAACGGTGGCGGAAAGGCCCCATTAAACTGGATGCCCAGAAGAAGAAGAAAGGGTTGTGTGTTTCTGGAGTAATCTCAACACATCTACTCGAGTACCACACAGCAGCATCTCTCTGAGTGGCATTCAGGTGTGGTTAGAGCGCCGCCTGCTGGAGAGATGGGAGTGGCTCACCGGAGACCACACAGCCAATCAGCATCAGGTAATCAGTCACTAAATGAAAGCATGCTGGTCACCTGGTTCTGGTCTCTTGCAGTAGGCTGGGACCTGGAGGGGAGAAGTAGGAAGCCCCTGAGAAGCCCTCCATGAACAGCAGTATTGTGTAGTTTGTTTCTGTTGGATTGTATCTGTTACTTTACAAAAACTCGAAATCTTGTCAAATATATGTGTCTAATATCTAGTCAGAATATGTCTCTCCACCTGATAGAAGACATAACTTCAGAAGTAACACTGCAGTGAGATATCAGGTCTTGTTTTAGACAATGCATCATCTTGTTGAGTCAAACGATCTTAGTTTGAGTTGTATCTCAGATGAAACACATTCTCTTACATATTTATTAGAAAATCACCAACTAACATCAGAAAACAGAACACTTTTGGGTATTTGCAGTTTATATTGTAACACAGCATTTCCTGATTCTGGTAAAAAATATTGTTTAAAATAAGTTCTCCCAGATAATTACAAGATCTGATTTATCTAAATATCCCTTCTTTTTCAAGGAATCTTACCAAGCTAATTTTCACTTGTTCTATTGGCAGATATTTTTACTTATTTCAAGTGAAAACACCTCGTTTTCATTTGTATTGAACTTGTTTTTGGAGCAGCATTTTTTCCAGTCTATTGCTTGTGTTTATGTTATTATTAAACATTTTATTTGCACCAAACCCACATCTCCTTCCATCCTGTCAACTGGGTGAGCAGTACAGTGAGTGATGTATTTTAATCTGAGATAATCCATTAGACATGTTGTTATACCTTTTGTATTAGAGAGATTTAATATTAGGAAGCAAACAATGTTTCAACAGATTGTGAAATGTTTAGGAATCCCGTGTGATGTGGTGCCGTTTGACTGATGCCCATTCAGATCCTTGCAGCTGAATTCAGATCAGATTAGGGTTAGGGTTAGGGTTAGGTTAGGGGAAAGGGAAGTGCTCCGGAGGGGACTGGCTCTCGGGGGCAATATTGTGGTTAAAAAAAACCTTTCTAAAAACTCCAAGGGAAATACATACAATGTTTCTAAAAGCCCTGTTAAAAGTCATACAAATAAGTAAAATCAAATAAAAAGGCAAGAGGAGACCAGATCCCAGAGGAGACCAGAGCAGTGGGACCTAGAGATCTCCTAACCTCCCGGGGACCCCTAAAGGAGGTGGCTGGCGAGGACCCGTCCGTAGGGAAGCCTTCAAATGGCAATGGCCTAGCAATGGTGTAAAAAAAGTATCTCGAAAAAGCATGCAGATAAACATTAAATTAATAGAGCAGTGTTTAAGGTAACAAATTGTTTTGTAAAGAATTCACAAAACAAAACAAATTCATGCTGAATACATAAATAAAATAATAAAATAAAGAGATTAATTAATAAACACAAAAAGGAACGAATTGTCATAAAAAGTGTGATTAAAACCAGTAGGACCCAGGTTCATCAATGAAAAGATTCCACATAGAACAGGCCGCAAGTATTTCAGATGATTTCTCTCTGCACGTTTTAAGGAATCCAGTGAAGGAGGGATAGTAAAGGGATACAATCATAAAAAAATGCAAGACATGAAATAAATAAATATTGGTAAAAATTCAATGAAAAGAAGAGGGAGGGATGGCCTCCTCGTATGGACCCTTTGTTATTTAAAATCAAGCCATGCAAACAAGTGGTACAATTAAAAGATAAATATAAGAATTAAAACGAATAAATATGTAAAATAATATAGTATAATAATATATTTGATAACATTTATGGAAAAAATATAAAAAATAAAAACAACTGGATTCCTTCATATTGACTCGGCCTGCAGGGAGGGGGCTCAAAAGGCCACCAGGGGAGAGATAAGGGAGGCTATGGGAAGGGTAGGAGATCAAAATCAGTTGAAGCAGGTTATGAACAAGGGGAGGCGGATCCATCACCGGTACCTCTCGTTTAGACCGTGGGGTTGATTGTTTTCAGTCGATGAATCCACCTCCTCTCCGCCGCCTGTCTCTGGACCTCCAGTCCCTGTTGCTCTCCAGGCCTAAAGATTGAACCTTATCTGGGCTGTGGAGTTTAAAATGTGCATATAAAATGCTCGTGCCGTCACTGCTATTTATTTGATACATGTTGTTTGATTCTGAGGCTGATCTCATTCCGTGTCTCCCCCACATAGAGTCTGTGGCAGGCCCTGCACCTGACAGCATATACTGCATTCTTGGTGTTAGGTGTCAGGGCCTGTACAAGGTTTGCGCCAGCTCTACTGAATGGGTTTAAAATGTGAGGGAGGCGGAGCAAACCAACCTCAGAGGCCCGAGGCGCCTCCCTGTTTGGTGTTTTTTTGTTGAAATCGGTGCGGACTAGGAGGTCCTTCATGCTTTTATTTCTGCGGTAAGCGGAGGTCAGCCGGCATTGCCGCAGCGCATCACTGTCCGCCCTCGCCCCCTCAAAGTTGGACCTGAGATCGCCTAAAAGGCTCCCCAGGTCCTTAGAATAGAGGTGATCAGGGGGACGAGGGTCGGTCCGGAAGGCTGGGCTGAGATGGTGTAGTATTAGTCTTTAAAAGTTTGACCGACCTCCGCTTTGATGCTTCTAAGGAAGCGCCTCGAGTAACCCCTTGGCCTCA